ATTGCTCCGTGGGACAGTCCATGTTTTCACGGTGTGCAGGACCGAGCACTGGAGTCTTGGGGCTCCCAGCATCCCTGTGCTGCCATCCCTGCCGGGCAGGACCTGGGGACAGGCACCGCCGCTGTGTCCTTGTGCCACATCGGAGAATCACTTTCTATTTTCTCTGACTGCAATGGAAATGTTTGTCTGAAATTCATCCACAGCCCTCCCGCTTCTGCCTCGCCGGGGGCACAGAGTCGCCTTTAAGAGGAGAGCGGCTCCGAAACTCAGGGTGCCGCGGGCAGACCCTGCTCTGGCTGCACTTCCCGGCGCTCCCACGGGGATGACTCACCCGGATCGGATTGCTACGGCTTTATTTGCTTACAGGGTGAACCGGCAGGATGCTCTTGAGGAAAAGTGGAGGTTTTTTGCCATTGGAAAAACTTAATTTGTCGAAACTGTAACTGCAGGAAAACGTGGGATTCACATCTGCCTGGAGGCAGGCGGCCAGAGAGGCTGCTTCCGGCTGTGGGGACATTTGGAAAATGAAAGACTGTTTTGATTAAGGTTTTTCTGCTCTTCAAGATTCAAGGCAAAAGTCTAAAATCTGAAACTTAACCAAAAAATTTCCAATCCGTCACAGCTGAGTGTTTTCACGGGCACAACATGCTTCTTCTCAGATCCTCACTTCCCACCCAAACCCTCTGTTTTCCTCCCTGAGGGTGAAACCTGTGTGGCAGGTGCTGGAGGTCGATGTGGGAAGAGGCAGAAAAGCAGGAGGTGCCCAGGGTGCTGCTGCCCCTTCCCACCCACCAAACCTTACTGACACTGGGTTGCATCAGGGACTGGCCTCAACAGCCCTCTTTTGTCCAAGATCTGGATAAGCCCTGGATGAACTCATCCTCCTGACGATCCAGTGCACGGCAGCACCTGCCAACCCTCCTTCATCACCTGTGTGGGAATTGGGAATTCTGGGGGTTCAGCCTGCACGCAGAGGCTTGGGTGCTTCGGATCAGTCCTGGATGGCGTGCTGGGGGGTGCAGGATCAATCCCAGCTCTCCATGAGGGCTCACAAGAGACACCAGCAGCAGCTCCAGGACGGATTAGCCCGGCCCAGCACCTGTCAATCTACCTAGCCCATCACACAGGCAGAGCACAGGGCTGAACACCACCATTAATAGCATCTGGATAAGCTTTATCCATTTTTGCTATAATCAGATCCTAAACTGTCCTGGACAGCGACTTCTGAGCTCGAGCAATCCCACTGCCATTCCCAGCAGCCGAGGAGCATGTGCTCATTGTGCGGCAGCGATACCATCGGCATTAGTAATGGGAGCCCACGATACAGCTACTCCTGGTTTAGCCCTTTCAGGAGCACAGCCGCAAAATGAGGCCTTTGTGATTATTCCAGCATCCTTTTATCAGGCATTTGCAGCTCTGTAATTCCTCTAAGCCCCTCTGGCTGAGGTATCTCAGCAATCAGGTTTGCCTGCAGCTCTCCAGCCATGGCGCCTCTGGAGCAGCAGATGCTTCTCTGCCACCACTGCCCACAGGAAAGAGGGGGACCCTCTCACATGTGGATGAAACTTTGGGGCTCCCACGGGTGGTTGATGCCCTGCAAGCACCCGTGTCAATGCTGGGCCTGGGTGAGAGGAGACGCTCTGGGAGCCCTTGCCCTGCAACCCCTCCTATCCTGCTGCCTTTCCAGACCCCTGTGGCATCACCTGAGCCCCGAGAAAGGGCTGTGTCCCACTGGCAGCTCCCACAGTGCTCAGCACCCTCATCCCACCGAGGAGCCAGAGCTTCCGACACAGCTAAGTATAAACCGCGGGGGAGTGCGGCTGGTTGGAGACATCCTCCCTGGAGCTGAGCTTCCTTCCACAGTGTTTACACGCTGGTATCCAGGCAGATCCCAGAATAGACTTGAAGAAGAGCTGTCTCTTTGCATTAAGGTCACTTGTGCTCCAAACTGTCCCGGACGTGTCTGTCCCATCCCTCAGGAGCAGCCGCCCGTGCCCACAACGCTGTGCAGAGCACAGAGCCACGGGTGCCACGTCTGGGGGAGCAGGGGCTGCAAGGCCACAACAGAGGCTTCCATGGATTTGAAGAAGCCTTTCCAGTCCTGAAAGAGAGCCTGCAGAGAGCTTCTGATCAAGATACAAGATAAACCCCTTGTTCATCTCAATAGCATTTATTTCCTCCAGAGCTGATTTAGCAGATTAGATCAAGGTCAAACGTGACCATTTCTCTTCCACCAGCTCAGTGTCTCCAGATTGATAATTTGTGAGAACAGGATGGATTTTGGCAGCCAATGAGAGTCCTGCTCAGCCTACCCCAGCCCCAGCCCAGCCTCCTGTGGAGCCAGGTCGTCTCTTACCCTGTGGGCCTTGGAGGCGGGAGAATGGCTGTGTGCATTCGAATCGGCATGAAAAGGCTTTCCAAAGCCCACCCTGATCAATACAAAATATGGAAACCTATTGCAATCCTTCCTTAAGGATGTGGATACTTGATTCTGTCTCCTGAGATGGGGTCCAGGCAGGACTGAGCGAGCAGGGGGCTGCGCTGGGGCTGTGGGGCAGCTCTGAGGTAGGTGGGGAGGGAGCAGAGTCTGGCAGCCTGGGGATGTGCCAGAGCACAGCTCGGGTTTGGGGGTGGTGATGCAATCTGGAGCTGAGATCATTAATCACTTCTCTTTCTTGTAATGTGGAATAAGCCTATATTAATCCTTGATGCCAAAGCTCCTGCATGTCCCCCTCCCCGCCACAGCCTGGCTTCATTCCACCTTCTCCACTTCCCTGGAATGCACATTTGCCCTTTACAGACTGAAGCATGTTCAGTGTCTCATTAAAGAGTCACTTTATAGGGTGTTTTATTTCATGCTTTGTTAAGGACAGAATCGGGTAAATGCATCCTGGCAAAGGATCTAATAAGGAATTAGTCAACTTTTCAAAAGCATAAAACATGGTTTAATGGCAAAATCCATTAAGAATTAGGGTTCATGTGACAAATAACCCAGGGATGCTGGTTTGATCTTTCTGGGAATACGCTGGCTTTAAGGACTTGGGATCCTGCAGGAACACTCTGACTGTCCCACTGTCACCCAGTGTCCCACCATGTCCCACTACGTCCCACCACATCCCACCAGCCAGCAAGCCCCATCCCCTCACCTCCAGGACTGTGCTGCCTCCTCCTTGTCTGAAACCCCCATCTTCTCCCATCACGGAGAAAGCCTTTTGCTGCAGAGCACTAAAACCAGTGAGCTGACCTGTGGGACATCAACCACTAAATGGACTTCAGCTGCAAGAGGAAGGCAAAAGCCCAAGAAAGCTCTGCAAAACTCATGACAGGAGAGTTGACACTGGCAATGCCTTGGGGACCAATTCCCCCCCATCAGCCCATGGCAGGATGCCCACAGGGGCCAGGACCAGTCCAGGGTGGGATGGAGAGGGAGGCAGAGACTGCCAGAACAAAGTGGAGGTTGCAGGGTCTCCCAGGTCCTACTCCCAGCAGTGTGTGTGGGGACACCAAGGCACCCAGGGGGAGCCATGGGAGATTATTCAGAGCTGACACCAGTTGGTGGTTGCAGATGATGTGTGTGAAATGTCTCCTAATGTGCTAAGGGAATCAGCTAATTGATTTGCTGAACCACTTGCTAATTAAAGTATTAATGTTTTAACTTGTGGGAAGCATAGTAGGAGAGGGCCAGAAAACCCTCTGGGGCCAGAACACGTTTGCTGGTGGCTGGATCCATGACTCGACTGGCTGGCAGCAGGACACAGTGGCTTGGGGTGGGCACAGCTCCATCCCTGGCTGTTCCAGGGATGAAGGACCAGCCCAGGTACTGACAGTGTGTCCAAAGACTCTCTAGGACCAAGGACTGGAAGCAGCACAAGGGCTGTCAGTGAATTTTGGTGACTCCATCCTTCAAGATAACTCACCAGCCTTTGTCTTTCCCTCTTATTCCTTATCTTCAACTCTTGCCAGAAACTGCTCTGATTTTCCAGAAGATGGAGCAAAGTCAGTTTTCATCAGTTGCTCAGTCCCTCTACACAGGCTCTTGTGTCATTCCTCTATCCCCATGGGCAGGATCACTCAGCAGTGTCCCCGTGTTTCAGATTTCACATCCAAGATGTGAAATCTTTTTTTCCTTTTCATTCTGGTCCTACCTAAATTGGTAGAACTGAAACGCAAAAAACCCAAGTTAAGTCTAGCCCAAGCATTGTGCTTTTGTTTAAAGCACCTGTAATACTGACAGCGATGACGTGCCCAGGGTGATCCGGAGGCTTATCTAGAGCCTGCTTGGGAAAGAAACCTTGGCTGCTGCTCCAGCCCCCCATCCCTGGGAGAACTGGCACTGTGGTGGGCACATGTTCTGGCTGCCCCCATGGGCACATCACAGCAGCTCAAACTGCTTTTGGGAGCAGGTCGGTGCCTTTGTGTGCAGCTGTGAAAGGGAACACGTGCCTGGGCAGCCAGCAGTGGGGCTGGGGGCTTGCAGACCCCCCCACGCCCACACAAGGGCAGGGATCCTGCATTTTAGGGTCTCCAAACCCTCCCAGGGGAGCTGAGGGGGCTGGAATTACGATCTTTAAGTACCGTGCATTAAGCACTTTCCCTGGCAACTGCTGTTTCCATGGAAAGCTTTGACTCTCTGAGCTCTCTGCAGTATCTCACAAAGATCACCCTGTATTTCACCCCACGGCCACAGCCCGGACACCCCACTTGCGGTGGATAAATCTGTATTTATGCAATTATCCCCTGGCTGGGGCAGTGCTGGGTAGCTTTGGTCACTTGCTTTTCATCCCACAGGTTGTGTTGGGTTTGCCCAACACAAGGGGTGCCTAAGGGGGGGCTCTACCAAGGCTTGTGCTGTGCTGTGGGGACCAGTCATTCCTTCTTTGGGAGAGCAGTGGGTGTTCCTTCAGCCACAGCTTCCCAGGGGACTGATTTCACACCAGCAACACAGTTACAATTTCATGCCCAGACTTGCCCAAGTCCCACTTTTGCCTGTTTTTTTTCAGACAGCGGATCAGGAGTGGCGCTGGTCCCTGTCAGCCCAGACCCTCTTGCTGCAGATGAGCTGGTGGACAAGATGGTCGGTGGAGCTGCAGAGTTCGGGCACGGCACAGGTTTGGCCGGTGGAGCTGAGGATTTTGGGCATGCCATGGGTTCAGATGGTGGAGCCGAGGAGCTGGGACATGCCACTGCACTCAACCTGCTGCCAGCCACGGAGGACGGTGCCAAACCAGCAGCAGAGGAGACAACGTTGCTGATGCAGAGCCGTGTCCTGCCAACAGCCACCACGGCCCCCAGCACTGATGCAAAAAAACCTGTCCCTGTTAAGAAAAAGCCACCAACTCTAAAGCAAGTAAATATGGGAAGAAGGCACCCAAGGCTCAAGCCCACCCTGGCAGGGCCCCCTGGGACTGCCTCCCCAGCCAGCCCGCTGCGCTCTCGGCTCCCCACCACTGCCCAAGATCCACGAGTGCCAGCAGAGGACATGGACCAGGGGCCCCCAGAGCTGCCCTGGGGGGATCAGGCCACCACCAGCTGCCCCACGCTGCAGATCTCTCCATCCACCCTGCCACCAGCCCTGCCTCGGCCCTTCCCTGACAGCGCAGGTGATGCTGAGGAGGTTCCAACCACGGCTCCCAACGGTGACACCGTTATCCCGATGAACAGTGCAGAGAGAGATGTGCACAGCTCCTCATCAGAGGAGAGCCAAGAAACCACCACATCCACCATCATTACCACCACTGTCACCACCACGGAGCCCACCCCAGGTAAGATGAGCTGCCAGAGCACAGGCACAGGGGTACAGCAGCTGAGGGGGAGCAGGTCTGTGTTTAGGCAGCCCCCCAAAACCAGGACACCACCTGGGTTTGGGGAGCTGCCTAAAATCTTGGTGCTCAGAGGGCTGGAGCACATCTCCTATGGGAAAAGTCTGGGAGAGTTAGAGTTGTTCAGTCTGGAAAAGAGAAGCTTCTGGGGAGACCTTAGAGCCCCTTCCAGTGCCTAAAGGGACTCCAATAGAGCTGGAGAGGGACTTTGGACAAGGGCCTGATGTGACACGACAAGGGGGAATGGCTTCCCACTGACAGAGAGCAGGGTTAGATGGGATATTGGGAAGGAATTCTTCCCTGTGAGGGTGGTGAGGCCCTGGCACAGGTTGCCCAGAGAAGCTGTGGCTGTCCCATCCCTGGAAGTGTTCCAGGCCAGGTTGGACAGGGCCTGAAGTAACCTGGTCTAGTGGAAGGTGTCCCTGCCCATGGCAGGGGGTGGGACTGGATGGTCTTTAAAGTCCCTTCCAGTGCAAATCACTCCCTGATCCTATGATTCAGTGGGGTCAGCTGATGGAGCAGGGACCTGGGTGCTGGGTTTTTGGGTGCGGGATGGAGCTGCCAGGTGACGGTCCCTCGGTGTGATTGCTGACGTGTGTTCCCCCAGTCCTGTGCAGCATGAGCTTCCACGACCCCGAGGGCTACATCGACTCCACAGACTACCCCCCGCTGCCCCTGCACGGGTACCTGCAGTGCACCTACAATGTCACTGTCTACACGGGCTACGGCGTCGAGCTCCAGGTGAGAAGAGCTTCAGTTTGGGGATCCTCACAGCCAGACCCCTGTGTTCACAGCAGTAAATTGTGCAAGGCACCCACAGCCCTGGGCACCACTGCCCTGGGCGCCTGCACTTGCTAAGATAAACCTTCCCAGGGAAAAAATAGATTTTTCTTAGGCCTCCTAATAAACAAACTGTACAAGGGAGCTGGTACACCCTGAATGTCAGCGATGATCAAACCGCTTAAATGTCACACAATTAATTTAACAACGAGGCACTGGCAAGCAATTTGCTAAAAAGGCACTTGGTTTTGGTGGGAAGAACACAAGTCCCCTGGTCCCTGCATCCCCCTGCCTGCTGGGAAAGGTGTGGGTGGCCCCAGTGGGTGCAGGAAGCCCCGAGGCAGCAGGGTGGGCAGCCCAGGTCCCCTCTCTAGCCAGTGCACATGCTCACCATGTGCCCTCCCATCAGAGTGGGGCATTCTTACTAGAGCTGATGTGCTCCATCAGCTCTCCCCAAAATACAGCACCCCTCAGCCTGGTGAGGCTGGGAGCAGGGCAGCAGCCTCAACACATTCCAAACACTCTCCAGGTCAAACCAGCCCAGAGTCCCCATACTCTGGCATTCAATTCTTTCTTCTTTGGTTCTCCCCATGTCACTGTTTGCATCCAATTAACATCCATTGACTTTTAATCTGCGTAATTAAGAATGTGCATTAGAAGGAGCAAGGGTTCCACTGGGGTTGTCCCCTTCAAGTGGGCACAGGCTGTGGCTGATCCCCGGGGCACAATGGCAAGGTGGCCACCAGTCCCAGAAATGGGGCAGTGGTGACAGCACAGGGTGTACACTGGGGTGCCTGAGCATCTCAGACACTTTTCCATGGCAGTAACTGTCTCCCCAGACCTGCAGGGTGCTAAAGACAGGCTGCTTTGCTGTAAATTCGCCTCTGCCCATAATCCATCAGGTGACACCACTCCTGACCTCGCTCTGTTGTAAGCCAAGGTTTTAATGGAGCATAAAATTAGCCTCTACACCCCTCAAGCTTTGCATTTCCCTTTGTTGATGCTTCTGAGCATTTCAGACAAATTAAATCACAACAGCAGGTCCGTGCTTGCAGAATGTGGCCTCATCTGCAGCTGGGCAGTGCCCTGAGCTGCCCGACCACAGCTGGGCTGTGAGCTCTGGGGGCTCTGAGGTGAATTCCATCCAGTAGGTGCTGGGTAATTGGTACAACAGGAGAGGTTTGGATTTAATTCACAACTCCTGGAGTGGGAATGGAGAGTAAGTCCTTCGAAGGGGATTCCTTTCTTCACATGGGTGGACTGAACTGGGAGCTCTGGAGGCCAGAGCCACTCAGGGATGCTGTTTTGGGAGATGCCAGATCAGGCTGGGCTGGGAGCTCTGGAGCAGGTGCTGTGTTGCAGGTGCTGTGGTGGGGTGACCTGGGGAGCTGGGTTTGATAGTCTCTATGTGGAGCCTGAGCTGGTGACCACCCCTGTCACAAGTGGTGCAGGGTCTCAGAAGGTCCTTCTGGAGGCTGAACACGGAGGGATGTGTGAGAGCTTGGGGTCTCTGCTTGGCTCCCTGCCAGCAGCCGCCCACATCCCTCACAGCAACTCAGGGACAGCGGTGCCCCTGCCTGTCCCTGTGCCAGCCAGGCTGTACCATGGCAGCCCTGAGAGCTGGGAGCAGCCAGCTCTCCAAGTGCTTCGTGAAATTATATTTATTTTTAAAATTCTTGAATCTTCTTGGCAGGAAATAGAATTTCCCTAAAGAGGTTTTCTAGTGGGTGAGCGAGGCTGGCAGCCTGGCTTGAGGATCCCTCCTGCCTTCCCAACAGGCTCTGGAGGAGCTGACATCAACGCAGACATGGATTAAAGTTAGAACTGGTCCTCCCAGCCCCTGGCAGGAGCTCACACATATGGTCCCTCTCACAGCGCTGACGGTCCCTGGCACGAGGCCACTGCATCGTCTGGGCTCGCTGGGTACTCTGGACTCCTCTGATGATGCCAGCCTGGTGCTGGCACAGAGAATGGCATGTGACACTCACAGTGACACCCAGCTCCGAGCTGCTCTGGGCCTGGGTTTGCTGGAGGATAGGCTGCTGGCAGAGTCGAGTGGTGTGTGTGTATGTGTGTGTCTCATGGCACCCAGCAGTGCTCCTCAGCTTCCTCCCTTCCACAGAGCTCTGCCTGCTCCTGCTGCTCTCCTGAATCCCCTTCCCAGGGCAGAGCTGCTCCAGCAGCACTCCTGAATGCTCCCCTTCCCAATTTCCTGGAGTGATTTGGCTCTGCATAGTGTGCATGATGCCATCATCACTGGAGGGAGCCAGCTGGGGAATAGGTTTGACTGGAGGGATTTCAGAACAAAATGTGTTAGAAACACCCTGGGAACATCTTTGCAGGGATTCAGACCCAGCTGGGGAAGCAAAACTCTGTCCTGGTAGGAGCTGGCAGGAAGTAGTTAGCATTGTGTGGAGCCCACTCAGCATCCCTGGATCCCATGTTCCAAATAATTCATCCCAAATAACACTTCATTCCATTTATTAATAATTAGATCTGAGCCATCCCACGAGCTGCAGTGTGTGCTAGCTGTGCTGGGGAGGCACATTTCCGGGACAAAACCTGGAGAAAAAGGAATGACCTGGGTCAGGTTGGGGGCTGGGTTTGCACTGAGCCCGTGTTTCTGATGATGCTTTTATCTGCCAGGACCCAGCACCCTGCTGCAAAAAAATGGCAAAATCAGCTCCTCCTGGATTAAAACACGGGCCGGGGTGAACTCAGGCATACTCTGACCCAGCCTGGCGGTGCTCGGTCCAGCCCCATAGCAAAGATCAGGCTTTTCCAGGGATGTTCCTTCAGATCAGGCAGGGAGTCACTTGGTGGGACTAAGGTGGTTTCTCCCGAGGAAATCTCCCTCCTCCCAGCAGAAGGGCAGAGGATGCCAAGGGCTGTGTGGGGGTCCTTTTAGTGCCAGTGGCTGTGTCCTACCTTGTGGGCCAGGGGGAGGTGGCATGATGGTGACAACAGCCACCAATCCCTCCAGTCACAACATCATCGGGAGCGCTTGTAATCACAGGCTGGGCTGGGTGCTAAATATAGAGCCCTGGGCTTGCACACTTAAGGAAACAAACGATCTGATGAGCATCTTTCTGCTGAAATATGAGCCCATTTATTAAGCTAAATGGACGTGAAATGCAAATGTGAGGTTACTGCTCAGCTATTTCCAAATAATAATTAAAGGCTTTTGGGACTACTCATTAGATGCACTTGCTGTGTGACTCCCCACCACTCCCCCCACTCAGTGGGGTGAGGGATCCTGGGGAGGATTCCCGGTGCATGGGCTGGATGGTGGGCACCAAACAGAGGGAGGGCTGTGCTGGTGCAATGCTCTGTGGGCACTCTGTGTCCAGGGCTGGGATGTGAGCCCTCACCTGGAACCCTATTGGGACCCCCCCTTCACCCGCAGCTCACAGGTCTCTGCTCCCTCCCAGGTCAAGAGTGTGAACCTGTCTGACGGGGAGGTGCTCTCCATCCGCGGTGTGGATGGTGATGCCCTCGTGGTCCTGGCCAACCAGACCCTGCTGGTGGAGGGCCAGGTGATCCGCAGCCCCACCAACACCATCTCCGTCTACTTCCGCACCTTCCAGGACGAGGTGGTGGGGACCTTCCAGCTCCACTATCAGGGTGAGTGTCTCCCTGATGTGGGTAGGGGTGGGATGGGGGTCAGTCCCATCGGGCTGCGGGGATGGAAGGATGGTGGGCTCTGCCTGCACAGAGCAGTTGGGCTCCTGTTGCACTGCCTGCCCATGCTCAGAGCATGGGGTGGTCAAGGTGTTGTGCCCAGAGCAGATGGTTCAATGTGCCCTGATGTCTTCAACCCTGGCACTGGCTGTGCCTTTCACGCCTGCCTTGCCCTGTTTCTGTCCCTGTACAGCAGCTCTTCCTACACACACTTACACTGTGAGTCTATTTTTTACCTCGAAGAGCTGTAAAAAATAAATGAGTTTGAGCAAATTATTTTTAAAATAGAAACTGGGTCTGGGCAAGAGCAGTAACAGGTGAGGAAGCAGCAGAGCAGGGGGTTGGCACCTGGCAGCCAGGTCTGTGTGTGACACGTGGGGACATCCAGCACGTCCCTACGTTCACCCCCCCTGTGGGGTGGCTGGGAGCAGATGAGCCCTAAACTCCAAATGGATGTGCTTGTTGCAGTGTTTATGCTGAGCTGCAACTTCCCACGGAGACCTGACTTTGGAGACGTCACTGTGATGGATTTGCACTCGGGTGGAATTGCTCACTTTCACTGTCACCTGGGCTACGAGCTGCAGGGTCCCCGGGTGCTGACGTGCATCAACGCGTCCCGGCCGCACTGGAGCAGCCCCGAGCCCATCTGCTCAGGTACACTGCACACCCTCAGAGCTAAGGAAAACTGGGGTCCACAACCAAAAATGTAATCCCTTTCTTCATGCCATGGGTTCAGTGAGGTTCTGGGAGAGAGTGAGAGCGATGCCCAGCTCTGCACACAGCGCAGCCCGAGGTACTGCTGTTGGCCGGGCAGTGACTGCAAAATCTATCCCCTCATTAGGCAGGAAAGGAACAGGAAATTATAGATTTTATGTGTATGTGCGAGTATATATGTGTGAGTATAAATATGTACAGATAGAGCAAAGCCAAAACAGGTGAGAGGTTTGTGCATTAGGGACTGAAGAGAACTGGGCAGGTGCCAGTGGAGGGGGTCATCTGTGGGCTGTGGGAGTACAGATGCCCCCGTCCCGTCTGCCCTGCCCCATCCCCTTTGCCTTGCCCCGTCCCCCTGCCCATACCAGTGTGGCTGTGCTCTGTTCTGACAGCTCCCTGTGGAGGGAAGGTCCACAATGCCACCATTGGCCGTGTCCTGTCACCCAGCTACACTGGGAACCAGTCCAGCAGCATGTACTGCGTGTGGGCCATTGGGGCACCCCCGGGACAGAAGCTGCACCTGCACTTTGAGAAGCTCCTGCTGACCGAGAAGGACAGGTGAGGGTCCAGGAGCCACCTGGGTTTGGAAGTTCCCAGCTGGTCCCAGCTCGCCTACCTCAGACCTCCAGGGGCTGGGTGGGACACAGGGACTCCTGTCCCACGTAACGTGCTGTGTCCTGCCCTGCAGGATGGTGGTGTACAGCGGGGACACCAACCAGTCTGCTGTGCTCTACGACTCGCTGCGTGCGGAGAGCGTGCCCTTCGAGGGGGTGATCAGCGATGGCTCCTCCATCAGGATCGACTTCCTCGCGGAGGAACCCGCGGCCGCCACGACTTTCAACATCCGCTTCGAAGGTGCTGTGTCCTCATCGTGGTGCCCTGGGGGCAGTGCCCCAAGGGCTGTGCCCGGCCTCAGCCAGCACACCCGGCTGTAGGAAGGGTCTCAGCTGCCACTGGCACCAGCAGACCTGGTGCTCCCCTGTGCTGCTGTCCCTGTGTCACTGTGGGCACACAGGGTGACCTGAACCTCATGGGTGCTGTAGGAGCTTTGGGGAATATATTTGTCTAGGAAAAAGTAGGGAAAGAAATAGTGAAATGGCATTTCCTTCAGCAGGAAAGCTTGTTGGTGAGCTGAGTGTCCATGGGACATGTCTCCTGTGCCAGGGACAGGGCTGTCCTCCCACTTACCCATCTGCCATCCTCTGGATCTGTCTCTTTCAGGGACAGGGTGCAGGACCAGCCCTGGCAGCTCACACAGCTTTGCTCCAGTCATTTAGGTGGATCCCACTGGAGGATCATTCCCACGGGAGCCCTGTGCCCCCGAGCAGGCTCGGTAACACTCAGTAATCCCAGGGTGGATGGGTCAGCAAACACAGTGCCTGGCAGTGCTGTGAGCGTGTCCCCACAGGAGTGGGGTTTCGTTAAACCTGCATGGCTCAGGGCAGATAAATTGTTGCTAATCCTAATTGCCTGTAAAACATGCCATGGAAGAGGCTGTCCATGCTAGTGGGGATGCAGGGGTTGGTTCCTGGCTGGGGACAGTAGCAGAACCCGGGGTTCACCCAGTGAACCCCCAGAGAGGGAAGAAGCTCCATGTCCCTGTGGCTAACAGGACTTCTCTTTCAGCCTTCGAGCGGGGCCATTGCTATGAGCCCTACATCCAGAACGGGAACTTCACCACCTCCGACCCCACCTACAACCTGGGTACCACTGTGGAGTTCACCTGTGACCCTGGGCACTCCCTGGAGCAGGGCCCTGCTGTCATCGAGTGCGTCAACATGCGGGACCCGTACTGGAACGACACGGAGCCGCTGTGCCGAGGTCAGTCCCTGTGTCATGGGCAACATTGGGCAGTGAGGGTGAACACCCCTGTGACCCCGCTGAGCCCTGACCACCTCTCGCTCTCGCAGCCACGTGTGGGGGGGAGCTGACCGCTGTGGCTGGGGTGATCCTGTCCCCCAACTGGCCGGAGCCCTATGCAGAGGGGGAGGACTGCATCTGGAGGATCCATGTGGGTGAGGAGAAGCGACTCTTCCTGGACATCCAGCTGTGAGTAGCCCAGGAACCTCAGTATCTGTCTCTACCCCAACAGAACACAACCCCCTTTGCTGTCGTATCCCACTCTCCTTGCCCCAGGGATCTTGCACCATCATGGGATCATTGAATCCCATAATGGTTTGGGTTGGAAGGGATTTTAACATTCATCTCATTCCTTGTCATGGGCAGGGACACCTTTCACTAGACCAGGTTGCTCCAAGCCCTGTCCAATCTGGCCTTGAACATTTCCAGGGATGGGGCAGCCACAGCTTCTCTGGGCAACCTGTGCCAGGGCCTCACCACCCTCACAGAGAAGAGTCATGCCATGTTCCTGTTCTCCCCCTCAGAGCTTCCCTAATCCCTGTTGATGCACTTGGCACTGTGGGCAGGACTGAGTGCTGCTCTCTGAGTTCAAAGCACTGTTACACCATCCATTGCAGCAGTTTATTGCTCCTCCAATGGCTTTGGAACTTGCTACAGGGAGTGACGCCACAGCAGCACGTGGCCATATGCCACGTGGGGTGACACACGGCACCATCAGGAGCTGGGTCATACGGGGTTAGGAGAACCTGGGGGCATCCATGAGCTGCAAACAGCTGAATCTTTGGGCTGAATGTGAAATACAGGCACTAAGGGAGCGGAGCCCAGCAAGGGGTTCAGCACGGGCTGAGCATGCCGGGATCAGAGGGAACAAGATCTGATGCTGGGCTGGGAGCCCTTGGCATGGTAATGCTGCCTCTGTAGAGGGAGTCTCCTTTGATGCTATTTTGGGTTTTCAAGATGTGTTTCAAGTAGAGGCTTAGAGTCATAAAGGTTTTAAAGCTTCCCATAAAATCCCAAGTCAGAGCTCCCAGTGCACCTTTCCCAGCTCTGTGGGTGCTTGGGCTGAGCAGAACTGGAGGCCAAGTGATTTGAAATCATCAGACATAAATGTCACTGAGAAAATCATGTTTGACAGAAAGCAGAGATTTACTACAAATGTCAGCTTGCCATGGGGATTAGCTGGGCTCCTTCCAAGAACATTTCTAATAAATCGTTTGGGTATCAGCTCAGAAATCTCCTGTGGGGCCAGGAGCACCCTGCTGTTTCTCCCCTGGCCCTCTCCTGCCCTGGGGAAGGGAAGGATGGGGGTGTTGCTGCCTCAGCCCCTCCTGCACCACCGAGCAGCAAAGCGCTGGTGCCGGCTATGCCCCCACTGCTGGTGCTGGCTGTGCTCCCAGCGCCGGACAGCCTTGCTGAGATGCGGACTCGGCAGGACAGCGAGCAGGGAGGGGGGTGTCAGTGCCCACTCTTGGGGCTGATATGATCCGTTCAGCCAGAGAACCCGCCTGGCAGCAGCGCTGGCACCAGAGCCATGTGTCCCCCGGGATGTGCATCCATCTCCTGCCCTTGGCCTGGCAGCGGGGCGAGAGGGCGAGCCCACCCCATCCTCTTCGGCTCCAGGGCAGCCGCATCCCCGCCGCAGCCGGGGTGGATGGATGCTGCGGCCGGCGCTGCCCGGTGTCCCCGGCAGTCCCCGCCATCCGCGGGCCGCCACTGCGCTCTGCTGGCCGCGGGGACGAGCGCGGCGCCGCCGGGACCGGCACTTCCACAAGCAGGGATGCGCTGCCCCGGGAGCCACCGGCACTGCCCCGACCTCGACCCCTGGAGTCACACCCGGAGGGCAGAGGGAACCGTGGGGCTGCGGCCCAAACAGGCGGGGACGGGACAGTGCCACAGCGCTGCTCAGTCTGCCTGAGGAGGGGACAGGGAGTGGGATAGGGACAGGATGGGGATGTGACAGGTATGGGAATGGGGACAGGTACAGGATGGGGATAGGATGGGAATGGGACAGGGACAGTATATGGACAGGGATGGGGACAAGAGAGGGATGGGGATGGGACAGGACAGGGATGAGCCACAAGGCAAGTTTGCTGCACTGCAGTGTTGGGGCAAGTGGTCACCTTGCTGCCCTTTGAGTCGCACACCATTGCATCCTGTTTGGGTTCCTTGCCCTGCTCTCTAACCAAACTCTCCTCTCAGCCTGAACATCACCAACAGTGACATTCTCACGATCTACGACGGGGACGAGCTCACCGCCCGCATCCTGGGGCAGTACGTCGGCAGCAGTGGCCCCCAGAAGCTCTACTCCTCCAGCCCTGACCTCACCATCCAGTTCCACTCAGACCCCGCTGGGCTCATCTTTGGGAAGGGGCAGGGATTCATCATGAACTACGTAGGTAAGGAGAGCAGGGGGCTGGTGTGTCCCCTGCCCTTGCCATGAAGGTGGGGATGTGACACACAGCCAGCCCAGGTTGTCCAGGTGCCAAGTCTGGAAGAGGGAAAAACTGCTGTGACACCAGCATTCCACATCCCACCAACCTCCTGCAAAACCCCCAGGCCAGCTGCAGGTCTCTGGGTCAGCCAGTTCTGGGGTGTCCCTGTGTGCCTCCCTCCTCCAGGCTGGCAACAAGGCAGTGGCATTTTTGGTCCCTGTTAGCCTTGGTCTGATCCAGAAGGAAAGAAATTGCTGGAAATGGGAGTGCAGGATCCCCACACACACCCTGCCAGGCATAAGCTGATGGCAGGGAAGGTCACTGAAGCCAGTCCCTGGGTGGGCTCCTGAGATGGATGTTTCCAGCTCCCAGCTCCTTGCTCCAGAGTGGCTCAGAGCACCTGGAGACATCTGTTCCATTGTCCTTTGGGGCAGCCCTGTCTGCCAGACTGGAGTGGGGAGTGCCCACACAGGGGACAAGTACTGGGGAGGGCACTCCTTCCCCATGGCTGCCTGTGGCCTTGCTGGCTACCTCTCCTCCTCCTGCCTTCCCCCACCAGACTCCTTCCAAGCGTGTTTTCCTTGTGCTGCTGACAGCCCTGGCTGTGACAAAGAGAGCAAACTGCAATGCAGAGCACCTGTGAGACTGCAGGTCCCTCCTTGGTGCTCTGCAGCACACAGGGTCAGGCTCAGCTGTGGGCACAGGGCTGGGGAGGGCAGGGCACAGCCCCCTCACCTGAGCAAACCAACCATGGTACCTGCACTGATCCTGCACCTGCAGCCAGAGCTGAGCTTGGTGTTCCCAGGTTGTCCTGACCCCAGCACAGGTACTGCCCCATTTGAGCCCTTTGTCTGCTGGTAGGGTCAGGGCTGGGGAGGTTTCAAAGAGCCCCCATCACCCACTGCTGCCCCTTCCCTGTGCCCACGGGTTGCCACCTGTGGACCAGCTGCCAGCTGTGGCTGTGCCATTTGTGGACTGTGAGGCTGGAGAGCTTTGGGGAGGAACAGGCACTTGGGCCATGAGTCCAGGTGTGGTGGCTCCAAGGAGGGCAGTGCCATGGAGTCTCATTCGGTGGGTGACAGCCAGAATCCCTCTTGGCTGCAGAGGTGTCTCGCAATGACTCCTGCTCTGACCTGCCCGAGATCCAGAACGGCTGGAAAACCACGTCACACACAGAGCTGGTGAGAGGGGCCAAGATCACCTACCAGTGTGACCCAGGCTATGACATCGTGGGGAGCGACACCCTCACCTGCCAGTGGGACCTCAGCTGGAGCAGCGACCCCCCCTTCTGTGAAAAGAGTAAGTGCCCCAGCAAGGTGCTGCTGTCCCGGTCCCACACCCTCATAATGGTGCTGGTCCTGCTGCCATGCTGGGGCTCCCTGCTCCAAGGGGACCCTGTGCTCAGCCATCCTCTTCTCCCCAGTTATGTACTGCACAGACCCAGGGGAGGTGGAGCACTCAACTCGCCTCATCTCTGACCCAGTGCTGCTGGTGGGCACCACCATCCAGTACACCTGCAACCCTGGCTTCGTGCTGGAGGGCAGCTCCTTGCTCACCTGCTACAGCCGTGAGACCGGGACGCCCATCTGGACCTCACGGCTCCCACACTGTGTCTGTGAGTTTGGGTTGTCTCTCCTGCTTTCCTGCAGTTCAGCTCCTCTTTGGGGGTCCCAGGGAGTCCTTCCCTGAAGCTGGGACCTTTCCCAGCAAGGGGGTGGTGCAGAACTTTGAGCTACCTGGAAGCAGGATGGGGTGGGACTTCAGGTACTTCTCACTGCCCTCCAGGGTCCTTTTCTCCCTCAGTAGTCTAAGCCCTGAGCTAACCCCAGATTGTTTCATTCCCTTTCAGCTGAGGAGTCACTGGCCTGTGATAATCCAGGACTGCCAGAAAATGGGTACCAAATTCTTTATAAGCGCCTCTACCTGCCAGGAGAGTCTCTGACCTTCATGTGCTATGAGGGCTTTGAACTCATGGGGGAGGTAACCATCAAATGCATCCTGGGCCAGCCGTCCCACTGGAGTGGACCCCTGCCCATCTGCAAAGGTAACATGGGGGGCCTGGGAGACTTGGGGATAGCTCATGCCTCTGTCTCCAACTTGGGAGAGCCCAGGGACAGCCCTTGGTCTGGCTGCAGACCTTGGCAGGTCTCTGTCTGGGAGCTGAACTTAGCTGAGACCTGGAGCTTCTCTGGCTTTGGGCTGAGTGAGCTCTGCTCGACCCAGCCTGCTCAGTCCTGGCCATGCACTTACAGACACCAAAAGCTTATTAAAATCTGGGAGTTCACAGTGTGGTTTGGGACCAAATGGGGCAGGAGACCCTGAGTCTGGGCTCCCCAACAGCCAACCACTGCCAGTACCCAGTCAAACCCAGCTACATACCAGTAATTCTCCATTTCTCTTCCAGTGAACCAAGATAGCTTTGAACACGCTCTGGAAGGTGAGTGATGCGGGTTTGCTGGATGTGCAGGGACCTTAGCCAGAGCCTGGTGGAGCCTGGGAGGAGGGGGAGAGGCAGAGGGGGGATCACACGGTGCCTGCAAATGCCAACATAATAGATCTTGTCCTTTCAGTAGCAGAAGCTGCTGCAGAGACATCGCTTGAGGGTGGAAATATGGCCTTGGCCATATTCATCCCAGTGCTGATCATCTCCCTGCTGCTGGGAGGAGCGTACATCTATCTCACAAGGTGGGCATACAGTTGGGCTGGGGACCATCACCGGGCAGGGGGGACATGGCCAGGGCTGGCTCAGCATTGCCGCGCCCTTGCCAGCTGCACACCATGGGCATGGTCCTCGGGAGTGTTTCGGGGCCCTTGGGGTGCTGTTGGGGAGCTGGGACGGGGGAATTGGCAGATGGGGCTGGTCATGTTCTGTTCCGGGGTTGGTCTGTGCAGCCCAGTGACTCCAGCATCTCCCGCAGGTGTCGGTACTACTCCAGCCTCCGCCTGCCCCTCATGTACTCCCACCCCTACAGCCAGATCACGGTAGAAACAGAGTTCGACAACCCAATTTATGAGACAGGGGTGAGTCCTTCTGCACCTGTCCTCCTCGGAGACCCTCCTGAGGGGTTTGGCTGGGTGGGCAGCCATGGGATGAGTCCAGCCACACCGCTGTGACAGTGTTGAGTAGCAGGGCAGGAGTCTGTCCGTGTTGGTCACTCACCAGGAGCTGGGTTGGTGATGCAGAGGGTGCAGGGTCCTAACTGGGAGGGCATCACTCCCCTGAGGACAAAACAATACCCAGGATCCTTCTTGCTGCCTAGGAATGGAGAGATGATCTTGAAATGCAGCTGCTGCCCTCAACTGGCTTTTCCTTCCTTTCAGGAAACACGAGAATACGAGGTTTCGATATAAGGACAGCGGTAAGAGAGTCTCCGGCTGTGAACTTAATGTGCTCTCATAGAACTTCCTCAGTAACTAATCCAGAGGCCATGTGGAGTTTGGTTGGACCCCCGGACCTGCTGTTGTCTTTCCTTTTGCCTCTTTATTGAAGATTTTACTGTTTTCTTCACTGTATTTATTCTATTTAAACTGCGATAGGTGTGCTGCCAAGCCCTGGGCACAGGCAGCAGCGGGAGCCGGGGCAGAGCTGGGTCCTGGTGAGGCCAAGGGGGCATGGGGGCACCTGCTGTGCCCCCCTCCGTGGCAGAGTGTCCCCTGGTACTGCCCACACATGCAGAGGGATTTTTGCGGTTCTGGTGTTGTTAAAAATTAAAGATGTCTCCATTGCAAGAGCCTGCGGTTGATTGCTGGGAGCTGAGGTAGCGCAGGGTCTCCTGCAGGGTTCCCATCCTGCAGCTCCCAGCTCCCCAAGTAGGACCCTCGCCCAGGGGCTCGGGTGGCACTGGTGCAGGGATCATCCTTGCTGCAGGGCTCAGGAAAGCTGTCATCCAGGGAGCCAGGACAGCCTGGCACTCACGAGGCACATGCTGCATTCTTGTCCCACTTTGTGTTGGATGTGGAGAGGCAGTGAGCCAGGACTCACGGGGTGATGCTCTGTGGAGAAGCACCAAGCAGTGACCCCCGGCTGCCAGCCCAACAGGGTGGGCAGCCCTGGAAGCTGCCCTGCAGCGAGCGGAGCTCTGCAGCCGGTGCCTCTGCTCACACCAGTTGTTCCTCTCAGCAGCACCTCCAGTCACCCTGCCAGGAACACCCCGACCCAGTAACGGCCTGAGGCCACCCCTTGCCCCCCTGGCAGCATCTCAGGGTAAGCAGGACGGGCTGGGCTCCCTGTCACCGCTCCTTCCACTGCAGGAGGGTCTGCGGCCGACCCCGGCATCTAGAGCTGGAGCAGCACATCCCACCCAGCACCTTCCGGATTAGCACCTGGCTGGGTCTCACAGCTGGGCAGGAGATGGAGAGGGGCAGGGAATGAAGATGGAGATATATTGGGGATGGAAGGCAGATGGGATGCGTGGGGGCTCTGACACAGGAGACCAGCCCGGGGGGAGCAGAACAGCCCCTCAGAGCTGGTCCTGAACCCCAGTTCCACCCTTGGCATGCCCTGTGCTCCTCCATCACCTCTGCCAGAGCCAGGCACTGGCAGGGCCACCCTGTCTGCAGGGACACAGACCCCAAAAGGACACCCTGTCCCCGTGCCCCCCATGCCACAAACCCCAGCCAGCCCCTGGGGAGGGCAGTGAAGCCACCACCACATCCTTGGCTGCCAGTGTCCTTCTTTCGTCCTTGTAGAACAATCACAACCATGGGAGGCTGGGTTAGCTTGGGGTGGTAGTGCAGCTCTGCAGTGTACAGCTGGGATTTGGGGTTTTTCCTTTAAAAACAACGAATGTGTGTTTGTAATTTGTAAAGGTTAAAAAAAAAAAAAAAAAAAAAAAAAGAAAAAAATGTGCCAAAAATGTACGAAGCATTTCATTTCCCTTCATACATGTCTGTTTTTATAAGAACAATGTGAAAATTGCTGGGATTAAATATTTTTGAACATGATAAAGTAGTTCCGTGGGAAACTCTAGCGTTCAGTATAACCTCGATACCAATTGTTCTGTGTTTTTAAATGTCTGAAATCAGTTTGCAGAGACTCGGGGCGCAGGCTGCAGCGGTGCAGGGGAGAGTGAGGGCCGGGCATCCTGCGTGCCCTCCTGTGGGATGGTGGCCCAATGCCACTGGCTTGGCTCTGAGTGCCAGATCCTGCCCTGGTGCAGCCCCATAGTGCCCCCTGCTCCTGTGGGATGGAGGCACCCAAGCGCTGCTGGGACACAGAGTGAGCTGGCACAACCCTGGGGACATCTCCCCCCCATCACACCCTGGGGGAGCCAGAGCTGGCTCCCCCTGCACCCTCTGAACTCAGCATTGCCCAAGGCACTTGGGACCCCACAGGAGACTTGTGGCCCTGTTACGGAGGATGTGCAGAAGGTTTGGGGGAGCCCTGTTAGCCCATTCCCTCTGGGCAGGGGGTTTGTGGGGAACCATCCTGCGGGTGCCCTGCTCACCCATCAGCTGCCCAACTACCCATGGCTGTCACCTGGCAGCTCCTACGGCTGGGGCAGGACAGCTTTCCAAAACCACAGGGAGAACATGGTGGGACGGGGGGTGCTGCTTGGCCTGTCCCCCTCCATACAGCTTCACACCAGCTGCATCCCACAGGCATGGCTCAGGGAAGGTGCCAGGGCTAGGTGGGAAACATCCCCCTGCTGCTCCCTGGGAGCCTCTCCGGGATGAGCTGCTCTGGTGGCTGTAGAGACAAACCTCCAGGAGGTTTCCCCCCAGCATCAGGTGTGGGTAGGACAGGGTCATGTGGGGGGACCCTGGGTACCTGTGGGATACCCTGACCATGGGACCCCCTGAGCATGATCCTGCTCAGGAGTGTGGTGGCAGAAGGGTGGCTGTCACCTCACCAAGGAGTAGGGCCACCAGGATATCCCAGCTGAAACAGATGCTTGCAGAGTTCCTGGTGTCCCTGGAAGCAGGAAGGGAGGGGGATGGTCACGGAAATGCCCTTTCCCAGGGCGTCCACCCATCCAAGGAATCCTGAGGTCTTCCATCCATCCCCGCACCTCCCTACACAAAACAATGCAACAACCTTGTCCTCTCTAAACGTGCTTTTAAACAAGGTTATGCTGTGACATCGATAATGGCTTTGCATAGCAGCTGCCAGGCTAATGCACAGGGGGCGAGGGAGCCAAAGCTCTGATGCAGAGCATTCCTGGGGGAGGGAGCTCGGGCTATTTTTGGACAGAGATTGCAAGAGAATTAAAGTGAAGGGAAAAAAACCCAAACCCTTGATGCTGCCGTTCCTTCTCGGTGACGTAAAGCCGGAGCCAATCTCTGGCCTCACGCGTTGTGCTGCAGATGAAGCTTTGTCTGGGCACAGCAGCCTCGGATACAACTCACCTCCCACCCTGCATGGGGCCAAGCAGGGGACAGAGCG